AGGTGGAGGCCTGGAGCACGAACATTGGAAGAGTTAGCTGAACCCAGAGACCGGCTTCTGTCCCTCACCCATTGATCTGAAAGTACCGATCCCTGAACTGTGTGGTTTGGACCATGTCTCTCTCCTCGTGGTTAAAGCCCGTGCAGACATTCCCATCAGCCATGCAGTCACATGAAACACCTGCCACGTGGCTCCGGGGACCCCCTGCAGGTCTCGCCTGTGTCAGTCCGAGCCCTTTGCTCCGCCTCTGTCCCACCCACACTGGCCGCTTTCAGCTCATCTGTGAGCCCTACGCCTTCCCGCCCCGGGCTTGTCCCACTGATACCCTCTCAGCCTAGGCCATTCTTCTCTCCCTGCCGTGTCCACCTCCTCCTTGTCCATCCAGGCTCAGCTGGAATCTTGCTTTTGCAGCAATGCCTGTCCTGATGACCCGGACGAGGTTAGGTCCCTTCACGTGCTGTGGATATCCGTGCTGGCCAAGCAGTTAGGCCCTTTCTGGTAGATGAATTACATGATGTGTCTGACACCCTTGAAGACAGGTATATAATGATGAATATAACACATTTAGCACGACGTCTGGTATGTAAGGTAGCAAATATCAAAGATATGATTGTGTGGGCTGGCCCGTGCCAGAGACATGGAGATGGCCCTGCCTTCGGCATGTTTGACTCTTGTTTCATTTAAGTAAAAGGAAGCATTGGGTTTTAGTACAATGTTGCCATTTAGCCATGCATTTCATACGTCACAGAACGAAGCTTGCTTCTCTGCTTTTTTTGCATCCTCCTTGACCTAAGGAGGCTGCGTGGTTTTGCTCCCCATCTCCGCATTAAGTTTCAGCTCCTCTTCACCTGGAGTAGAGTCAGGAGCAAGTTCTGAAGGGACCTGGGTTGGATCTCAGGAACCCACCTGAGTAGCCCAGAAATTACTCGTGGATTTTCAGTGACTTAGTTCTGGATAAACAATGTACTTATGCATCTTTAATGTAGTGTGACATCTAATTCCTCTGGCATTCAGGGAAAAGGGAAGGTATTATGGTCCAGGAAGCCTTTAATGGATGAGTAAACAGGGAAACCAGGAAGCTGGACCTGCCGCTGCAGGAGGAGGATGGACTGACTCCCCAGCAGATGGGAGGGAGGAGGGCCTGCGCTCTGGGAGGCTGTGTGCACAGGTTCTGTAGGGATCATCTGTGTCTGAGCCCCTGGAGGGAGCCTTCCAGGTCTCCTTCCCTCCCCGAACCTCTGGGATGGACCTCAGACTGGTCCCGTATGGAGACATGTGGTGGCTTCTGTGCTCCGTGAGCGATGGAAGCTGGTCAACAAGGTCTTGCACCTTTCCCACCGGGTTCTAGAACAAAACTCATGTCCTGAGCAAATGCTATCAACTGTTTCCTCTGTTTTATCAAAAAGACTTCCCTTTCCCCCCACCCCCTCAGAGCCCGGATTTTAATTACAGAGCAGAGAGGTGAGCGCCCGCGAAACCCTGGCCTCACGTTCGTGTGAGGGCACAGCCATGAACAAGGTGGGCCTGTCCTTGTCCCCCAAACACAGTGGGAACGGACAGGCAGTTACCCACTCAGCAGCTGGATTAGCTGCGGGGGTCCCCTCTCGTCCATTTCCAGGGGACTCTGCCCCGACTCCCGTGCCTCAAGGCAAGGGAGGTTGCAACCCAAACTTCCATCTGCCCAGTCATTCACGCTGGAGCCGCCTGGTGGCTTCCCTCGGAGTGTCATTCTAAGCGGGCACCGGCACTGCTTGCTCATGTGTAATTACAAGACACTGTACTCTGTGAAATGTATACGCGGTGGCCCTGGGCTGCTATCAGAAAGTCAGTATTTCTCCATGAGGGGGAGACGGAGAAATATTGCTCCTGCTCCAAACTCCCTCTTCACCGTGAACTTGGGCAAATTAGTACTTTGCACCCACGGTTTTTTCCTCTGAAATATTAGCCATAACCCTGCTTACCTTACCTTAGTGTTAAAAGTAACGTGAGTGATTAAAGTGCCTGAAATTACTCACGTTAGTGTAAGGTTATGGAGGGGGCATCCGTCATTCCAGGGAGCAGGTGCCCAGGGCTCTCTTCCCTGTGGCTCTGAGGCCCACTCTGGAAGAGTGGTTTCAACGTGGACGGTACACCCTTCACTTGCGAAGCTTAAAATAAGACAAAACAAAACAAAAACCACAGTGCTGGGCCCTACTCCCAAAGTTTTCATCTTCATTATTCGAGCGTGGGACCCGGGGCTGCTGGTCTCTTTTTCAGATGTGCAGGTAGCTCTTAAATGCCAGTCCGCACTGAGAACCGAGTCTCGCAGGGTGGAGTGGAAGAAGGCTACATCCAGGAACCGGTCAGAGGCAAGGCGTGGCCACCTGTGCCCTGTCACTTGTGGGATGTCCAGAGGGGCCCCGCGTGTGGGACACCTGAGGCTGGTCACTTTCCCATTCCCACCCCTCCACCCTGTGCAAGCTCCCGTCCGGATCCTGCCTTCCAGGCGGAACAGGACCCGGACCCGCATCTCTGTCACTCCTGCTCGCACTGCATCACGTACTCTGAGGCGTGGGATCTCATCTCATTCTCAGAGCCTCCTGAGCGTCTGCCTTTCACCGATGCACAGCCGAGGAAACCGAGGCTCAGACCCGTTCAGCAACCTGCCCACGTGTTGGTGGGGGTGGAATTCCCACCCGGCTGCTTGGCCCTGAGCCCACCCGCTCCATCACCCCCCCACCCCCCACCCCGCTGCGTGGTGATTAGTGTGCACGGGGAAGTGCTCTCCGCTCCTCGACATCGAATTCTCATCTCAGCTGGGGCTTTCTGAAGCCAGTGCGTTAGCTCGGGAGAAAGACTCCAGGGCTGGACTTCTCGGTCCACCACCGGCTGGTGGGAGGAGCCTCTAGGGCCCGTGGTGCCCTGGGAGCCACAGTTACCCAATCAAACCACATGGCCTGTGGTTCTCAAACTTGCTCACACATTGAATGCATCGGGGAGCTTGAAAACACGGCCTGATTCCCACCCGGAGACGGATGCCGTGGGCCTGAGGGTTGCCTGACTCGGGAAGCTGGCACAGCTCCCGGGGATGTGACGTGCCTCCAAGGTGGAGCACTGTGGCCACAGGTGGCCAGTCCCTGCAGCCGTGGGTCCGAGAGCTGCCTCTGTGGGCCCTGCAGAGAGGGAGGAAGTGAGCTGAGCTGACTTGTTACTCTGCTTCGATATGATGAAAGCAAACATGCCCATCCCTTAAGGCCATGCCAGGTCCCGCAGGGACAGATGGCACTGGAATGAGTGCTGTGCGCGAGCTTGTCTTCCCTACAGCCTGCCGCCGCCAGGAAAGCTGCGAGACGTCGGATTTGTTCGGAGGAATTCCTCAAAGATGAGAACGTGAAGAGGCAACAAAGAACCTTGGTTTATCTAGAGCGTATCTGCTTGGCTCTCAGAAAGGATGGCTTTCTGTTGGAAGCATACATTTTGTCTCATCGCCTTCCCGTGCCCGCAGACAGTGTACAGGGAGCGTGGGCTTCGTCTGCAGCCAAAACAAAAAATTTAAAAAAATAGGTGAAATTCCCATAACACAAAGTTGACTATTTAAAGTGAACAGTTCATTGGCCTTTAAAAGAGTGTTGTGTACCCACCCCCTTTATCTAGTTAAAAACATTTTCATGACCCCAAGGGAATCCCTCCCCTCCAAGCTCTTTCCATCTCCACCGTGCAGATCGCGCCTTGCTTCCCCCAGTCTTCGCTGGGGCTGTGGTGCCGCCCCGCCCCTCTCTCAATCGGTTCTCTCGGCTGCTTACCTTGCACTGATCATGTCCCCCCTGGTGCTGGGTTCCAGAGGCCATGCATCTTTGTGGGGTGGTTGGTGGAGGAGGAGGAAAGAGGCGGTGGGGGTTGTTTGCAAAGGCAGCACGTAAAGCAAAATTTGATTATGGTTAGAATTGCCCTTGGAAGTCCTGTAAATTGCTCATCAAGTGTGGCCTGCGTGATGTTGGGTAAACAGCTCTGCTGAGTAATTCGTAGGCACGTTAAGCTGAGAGTCCATGAAGTAGGATGAAGGTGGGAGGCATGGAGGAGACAGGAAGCCGAGGGGACCTGCCTGCGGACGTCACCCATGGGTGCTCTCACAGCACAGCGTTTACTTTGTTCTCGAGAAACAACGCGCTGCTGTCATCTCAGCACGCAGCCACGTGCGTCTCTATGGTGGAGACGGAGGCGACGAGGCAGCAGCTGGCACAGAGGGGCACATGTTAGATGCCGACTGAGTCTAAAGCTTGCTCAGTCAGATCTGTTATACGCCACCGTTTAAAAACTTATAGGAGAATTTGGCCGTCCACTTCCTCTCTTTCTAAGTCGCCATTAACTGTTGTTGCCTCCCCTCTCTCGTCTTGCCCTCCCCCACTGAGGAGCTACTGCTCTCTCTTGAGGAAACAGACACATCACCCCTCAGGGTACATTTTTATGTGAATTACCTGCCCAACTAGGTTACATGTGCCTTAAGGTCAGAGGACAGAGCTCCATGTTTGTATTGGATTACAGGGTGCTTATCACAGTATGTTTTATGTGTACACCGGGTGTCCAGCGATGCCCACTCTCCTCACTGATTCCTCTGAGTATCAGAGCAGAGGGTCCCAAGAATCTGGAAGATTGGAGATTTGCGGGCTTGTTGGGTTTTGCACATGTTGTTTGGTGGTTTGCGGCACACTGCTATTTTGTACGGCCGTTGGAGATGATGGCGTAAACCTCTGGATAAAATCAAAGCCAAAGGCAGGCTTGCAGTCTCCCTGGTAGAATTCTGCTGTCACTGATGTGTGAAATCCTCTTAGACCCAGAGGTTGCCCTCTGCTCCCTGTGAGTGTTTCACTGTTACCACAGCGCTGGGTCTCCGTGGGTCCTGAAAGGAGGGGGGGAAATGTGTCTGCGGCTTCAGTTCTCCTGGGGCCCCTTAGACAGCGGCGGTGATTAGAAACCTGGAAGCTGCCTTGTGTGTCTAAGTTCCTTCTGTTTGAATCTTTCAGAACACCAGGGTCTGGATCCCTGACCCCGAGGACGTGTGGCGCCCGGCCGAGTTAACCAGGGACTACAAGGAGGGGGACAGGAGCCTCCAGCTCAGACTGGAAGATGACACTGTAAGTGCGGGTCGAGGGGCAGGCCTGCCGGGTCTGCTGAGCAGGACTGGGCGGTACCGGTGGGTTTGGATTTCTCCTGCAGGAGCGGCTTCTGAACCCCGGGCATCTTTCCTGTCGCTGTTGATAATGTGTGTGGCAGTGCCAAACCGTGAAACTGCTCCGTGGATGTCACATAACATACGTGCCTCTGGGTGTCAGCAGCTGGGAGGTCCATCCTACTTCATGGACTCTCAGCTTAACCTGCCGAGGCCAGACTCTTCTCAGTGGAGTGGAGGGAATGGGGGTGTCCACCGTGGGGAGGCAATCCCGGGAGGTGACGGGGTAGCTGCTGCACGGAGACAGTGCATGGTGCTGTGGTGGGAGCACCGGCTGGACGCCCCTGCCTGGGTTGGGATCCCGGCGTGGCCATCCTTAGCTCTGTGCCTGGTGCAGATCAGCACTTTCTGTGCCTGTTACTTCGCCTCGGGCACTCTGAGGATGAGAGGAGTTACAGTGTGACCCGGGGTGGAGCCTGGAGCCTGGGACTCGGCATGTGTTAGCTGTGCAGCGAGATTTCTTTCTCATGAGCTGGCTTTCGGGTGGCTTCGCTGGAAAGGAAGACAGGTAGTAACCGTGAAGTCCTGTTCTCCTGCGTCTGCTTCAGTTTCTCTTTCCATGGGCCTTTGTGACCAGCCGCCTCTGTATGTGTGCGTTTCACAACTATTTGAAAGCTCGCTCTGTGCTGGGTTCGGGGGTGCATGGGGGAGTGGTTGTGGGCCTGCCCTTCGGGGGAGCAGCTCAGTGCCCGAGGCCACAGTGAGCATGAGCACACGGTGTGGCCAAGTGGCAGGAGTCACAGAGGCGTGGGCGAGGTGTGGGAGGGAACCTAAAGGAGGGAGCCTGCTGAGTGGGGATGTTGAGGGAGGAGTGGGGGGGAGCCAGCCATTGATGATTCAGGTGCCGTGGGCCCGGGCAGGTGTGTGTGCCAAAGCCCAGAGGCCTCCCTGTGTCCCTTAGGTGTGATGAAGGGAAGGAAGGGCCAATGCCCCTGGTGGGACCAGTGAGAAAGGGCCAGCGGTGGGGAGGGTGCAGGAGAGGTCACCGTGCAAGGTCTGCAGTGGGGGAGCCTGGGAGGAAGCAGGTTTTGAGTGAGGTGGCGGAACGGGGGGTTGAGTGTGAGGGGCTGCGGAGCAGGCATTGCTTGGAGGACGGCAGGAGGGGCATTTGCCTCCGTCTGAGCTGCAGGAGCACCAAGTTTGTGCCTGTCCTTAGCCCTTGACCATTCCCTCTCACTGTTTTTCCTTCTTTCAAGCATTTTGGTCTTGTCTTTCTAGTTCGTTAATGACCCCCCTTGAGAAATGGCCCGTGTCTTGGGCTTTGCTGACATGGCATCTGCTGAGGTTGGTGATTAACTCGTTGGTTAGTGGGAAGCGTGACCGTCCTTCCCCCACTCACTTGGATTTGTACCCACCTGAGCACGTGCCTCATGAAGCCGGACCAGGGAGTTTGTGGGAGATGCTGACTCCGAGGTGTGCATGCTCCCTTCCCTTCCTGGCAGGCGGCTCTGCCAGCCTCCCCTTCGTTTGGAAGCGAGAAACAAAATTCCCAGCAGATGGAACCGTGTTTACCACGTTGAACACTTCCCACCCCACGCCCCGCCTGAGACAAAAGTGAAATTAGTTCACCCACTCGAATGGTTTGTCCTCGCCAACAGATTTCATTTCAGTTGATCTTTTAAGTGGGTGGGTGTTTTGAAAGAGTTGCCCGGAGGTAGTGAGGAGTGATCCGCGTGGCCAAAACCGAGCCGATGTGTGCCTCCCCAGCTGCGAGCGAGTCCTGCCCTGCGTGGACAGTGTCTTCTCTTTCTCTCCCAGCTGCACAGCCTCGAGGTGTGCTAGCCTTAGCACAGGTCTCTGTTTTCGAACTGGCTCTTGCAGCTCCGTGAATGCATAGCGTGGAGATAAGTGTAGCTTCCTCGTTCTTTGCCAGGAGGGGAGTGGAACTCTGCCCAGCAGGCCACCTCTCTCCTGCCCCAGCCCCCTACAAACTGCCGGGCTCTGCCCTCTGGTGGCCGGAATAACTTCCCCCTTTCCATGGTTTTGCATTTCAATTCTGTACCCACTATCCAACAGCCACCTGGATGGCGAGGGCCCCCTGTATGCAAGGGCCCAGACTTAGTGAGAGAAAGACGGGAACACACGAACTTTAAAAAGGGGGACGTGCTCTACCCAGGTCTTGGCATATCCCAGCCGTGTCTAAGCGCCCAGGTCAGTGCACCAAGGGCGTTGACATTGCAGTGCAGCCATCACCACCGTCCGTCTCCAGGTGCATGTCTGTCATCGGCCTGTTCCCTGCTGCGTTCATGATCCTGGTCTCGGGCGGAGGCTGGGGTCCATTCCAAGTGGGTGGCTGAGCATTAATTTTGTGATGTGTTGTTAACATCCAGTCTTTTTTCCCACCTCCAAAGGCCCAGTTATTATGTAGTGCAGTCTTTTGTGCCAAAAAGTTCATGATCCCTGATCACATCATAAACACTTAGATTTCGAATAAAACCTTGTTAGTGGTCCATGCTCGACACTTGTGGCAGCGTTAGAATCAAATTCCTGTTAAAGAAAAAGATCCGCTGCGTCTCAGGCCCCGCCGCCCCTCTTGGTGTGCGGTGTGCGCAGGCCCAGGAGTCTGTGGCTTTGCATGCTGAGCTTGCACTTCTGCCCCTTTTCTGCTGCTCTGGGCATTTTTGCTCCTTATCAATTTTCCTGTAACCAATACCACTCGCTTATTTGTGGGCCGTGTTTTCATGCATATGCGTGTCCCTCTGCATACTTGCTGGAGAGTATTTTGAGGGGAGATTCATCTGACAAAAGATGGGATGCCAGCATTTCTGCTTCAGGGTTTACAGGCTCTGGGCTCAGGGCCCGGCTTTCGAATCTGAAAGCTGGAGTTGGCTGGGTGACCTCTGGGGCCCTGCTATTGGCTGTTCCCTGTGCCTCTTCCCCACGGGGGTGGAGGGGTGGGGTGGGAGGAGTTGGGGAGCAGATGGGCTCCTAGCGGGGAGCAGGTTGAGGAAGGAACGGTCCATTGGGAACTCTGCAGTGGCTCAGGGAGGTCTGCTTAGGGTCCCAGGGGTACCACTGCTCAGCAGGAGGTGAAGGGGGCCAGCCCCTCTAGAATTTATTGAGATAAAGATCAAGCCTTCATTTCCCCTAGTTTCCCGCCTTTTGGAAGTTTTGTCTGCATCATGTTCATATAGTGTTTACTTGTCTCCTGTGTGGAGTAAGGTTGATATAAGTAAAGGAGCTTTGCCCAGGAAGAAAGGTGCCGGAGACCAATTCCAGCAGGTCATCATTTCAAGAGCTTCATCAAAAGGTTGATGAGACTTGGGGACTCAGCTGGGTTGAGTCACACATGTAGTCACCCATTGTTAATGGCTAAAGGCATTTCCCCAAACCTGAATAGGATACATTAAATGGATTCTTGGCTGCCAGACAGTTAAAGGGCATCTTAATCTACGTGTTATTGCCTCCTACTGGCCAAACACCTGAACAGCCGTGGGCTAATTCCCCCATTCTGACAATGGACTCTGTACCAAATCCTGACCCTTTGAAGTGTATATCTCTGCTTCGCCTCAGGACAAGTTGTGTTAATAAAAAGCATGAGGTCCTGGGGACGGAGAGAACCTAAGGCCTTAGACTTAAGACCTTAGATCTTAGCTCCTTTAGCTAAGCTCCTCTGACCCCCAATGCCTTTCAAAATTATATTTCGTCTCCAGACTCTATTAGTCTCTGGATTCCTATTTAACATCTACCCACAGCCTTCTCCAGATTCCTGAACCCTTCTTGATGCCGGGACAAGAACCCCGGCAGAAAGGAGCCTTGATTAATATCTATTGGGTGTCCCAAAAAAATGTATACACAGTTTGAATGCTTATAAAGTCAGTGTTTATTTTCAAAATTTAGGAGAATCTATACAAATGAGCATTTTTTTTTTTTTTTGTCAATGCCTGTTTTCAAACTGATAACCGTTCTGGTCCAGGCACTGCCGATAACACGAAGCAACAGAATCGCAAACATCAAGAATCATTTCATTTGGTATTTGTGCACCCTCAATTTGTCAACTGTTGCTGGTTTTGTGCTGTAAACTTTATCTTTTATGTATCCCCATAAAAAAGTCTAGTGGATAAATTTTCTTTGTTCAAAGCTTAGTCTGGCGTCACCCATTATTTCAAATCAGTTAAACCTGAAAAGGAGTGAAAATTAAGTGAGTTATCAGCTATTAAAGTGTGTATACATTTGCCGGGGGAGGGGGGGGCAGTACTGTGTGTGTGTGTTGTATTCTATGCACAATTTTCTGTTGGGGTGTTGGTTTTCTCTCTGATTTCCTAAAACATTTTGGATTTTAGGAGTATTAATTTTGTCATATAATGCAGAATTGCTGTCCCCTTCTCCCATTTTATTCTGCTTATGGCATGTTTTATGATGGCTTTAAAGTTCTATATTATAGTCAAATTATAGTCTAGCTTTTGCATTGATCTTTAAAAGTTGCAATTCCTTCTAAAACTTTTACAGATATTTGCCCATATTTTCTTACTGGTTTGTTTTTCTTTTTGGTTTTTAATTTTCATGTGTTCTCTCTGAAATTTATTTTGGCGTAAGGGAGTGAGACTAGAACGCTGGCCCAATGTTTTTCCTCAGTGGCTGCTAGTTTACTACTCTTATTTGAAAAAGTCCTTTTAATCATTTATTTGCAATTTTGATGCTATCATGAACAAATTTTCCATAAGTGCTTGCATTTATTTCCGGATCTGCTATTCCATTTCACTCATTTGCCTATATTAGCGCTAGTATGATAGCACTTCAATTGTGGGCTTTATTAATATACCTTAGGATCTGGTGACCCAAGCCCCTCTAAGAGTGGGATAGGACGGGGCATTGATCTGTATATTCTCTCCGAATTTGACTGTTATCTCAGCAACTTGAGGCTATGTCCATAGAATGTCATGAAAGGCTTGTACAGAATAGTGATTCTTAAAATAATGAACCACCTGTATTCGAACTATTTGGGGATTTTTAAAAATTCAGCTTCCTGGGCCCCACCCAGAATTCCTGAACGTAAGTTGTATTTGGGAAACTGTTTTTATAAGCTCTCAGATGATTCTTGAGAGCCTTATAAGAAACGTACACTTAGATAAAACAGTAGTCAAATTCTTCCTGTTTCAATGTTTAAAAACACCACCACCATTTTTTAGTAATTATATGTATATATTGGTGCACATGTAATCAGAGTTATAATTATATCCTGTCAGTCAACTTATGTAGTCCATGTGCTAAGAGCACAAGGGTACACCCTGCCCTTGAGATTTGAACTTAAGATGTGTACTCACACTTCCTGATTTTACACACACACACACACAAACACACACACACTCAAGCTCCTATTATACTTCAGGTCAAAGTGCAATGATTGCCCTAGAGTAGCTTGCAGTTAGGTTGTGGAAAATATATGTACATCTTGCGGACACTTACGGAGGGCAGTGTGTCAGTTGCAAGGTAATCCAAGTAAACAGTGAATGTGTTGGTTGATGGGAGAGAGAATACAGAGACACCAGCATGCAGTGGGGCAATTCCTGGGTGGGAGAGACAGCAGTCTTCCTATTGCAACCAGAATTAAAGGCTCAGTAAGTATTTTTTTCCGTTGAGAAGCAGAGCGCTTTACTCCATCTGGTTGTGCTTCCTGAATTTCTCGTGTCATTGGGTCTCTTACCTGATACCCTGGGATTATGTTATCAGCAGATTTTCCACCTGGGCTGGTGTCTTGTCCAACACAGGTATTTTGTTCAGTGTGCCTTTCTTTAAAACATGTTATTTATCTTCATCACTTGTAATCACCCTAGGATAGTGGTCCCAGCCAGCAAGACAGGAATGGAACGCAGGCTGCATGCTTCATCACCCTGCCTTTTTGCGTCTGTTCTTACATTTAGATTCAGGAATACCCCATCGATGCCCAAAGCAAGCAGCTGCCCTTCCTGCGGAACCCAGATATCTTGGTGGGAGAAAATGACCTCACTGCCCTTAGCTATCTCCACGAGCCTGCCGTTTTGCATAACTTAAAGGTCCGTTTCCTGGAGTCCAACCATATCTACACGTACTGTGGTAAGTGGGGGCGTCTCTTGGGCGCATGCCTTTGAACGTGCTTACAACCTTCAGATTTTCCGTGTGAAACTCCCGTGGTTAAGAATCCTGCTTTCACTCTCATTTGTATAATAAGCACCTCCCATCTGAGACCCTGTGAAGGTTTGCGGACAGTGGATGGGGCTTCATTCGGCTGCCTGACTCCTCTGTGGGGTGACCTGTGTTACCCCCAGCTCTCCCAGGGAGCAGGGCCCACACTGTGTGGCTTGACTGGCTTGGGCACAGCCTGGAGTCTTAGGAGAACGTTGTCCTAGCTCGGGCGTCTCTCTCGCCTCCGAGCGCACTCCCGTGTCTATACCTGGCTTATTTTTCAGTGAAAGGACCACCTTTTTCTCTGACCCTCTCGCTGGCCCAGGTACCAACATGGTGCATGACAAACATTTGTCAAGTTCATAAACAGAAGCCATGACAAATGCTTCCACCTAAAAGCCCTGGAATTCTCTCATACTTGTTTTTCTAGAAATTTCTCAGTTTCCCATTCTAAATGTTGGTTCCTCTTTGCAGAGTATCGTTCAGTGGTGTGGTGGAAACAGGAGCCCTGTACGCTGTTGCTGGAGGGACGTTTTATTTTAGGAGGCTGAGGCGTCAGGCTGAGAGCTGCCTCGTGGGCCTGAGAGCCTGGTGTCTGTGACCATGGGTGGGGCTGTAGGGCACGAGGGACCTGCTCACCCTGATATTCCACGTTGGTCTGGAATCGATCCCTTAGCTTCTAAGTTAGAGTGAGCTTTCCTGCCAGCTTTGAGAAGTAGCTAATAGCGGGTTTATTTCGGCACTTGTGAGGTAGTTTTGCAAAAGCTCCTTCATCCGAATTGCAAGTGGGAGTTTATTTGAAAGAAACCATCCATTACTAGAGCCTTCCATAAGTGTTCTTATTAACAAGATTTTTAAAATCTCTCCTTTTAGGAGAACATGACAAATGACCATCAGCTTCACTTTTTATTTTTATTATTGAAATTATTGACAGTATTACAGACGTCCCCCTTTCTACCCTCCTCTTTCCCCCCTTCACCCAGCCCCTGCCCCACCCCAGGCCTTCGCTACACTATTGTGTCCTTGGGCTCTGCACATGTGCATATAAGTTCTTTGATCAGCTTCATTTTTTAAAAGCATCCTCTAAGAGAAGTCCTGGTGTCTGTACGTATCTACCCAGATGCTTCGGCTCTGAGAGTGGCTGGTGCAGCACAGAATTCAACTCAGTAAGAGGCACTCATTTCTGCCCTGGAGGGAGCTGAGACATTTTAGGACAATGTGTGACCTCAGCGTGTCATACCAGAATCTGAGCTGAATACACACGAGTGAGGGTTTTATACAACTCTGCTAGCCAGTGCCTGGTAAATACACACATGCGTCTTGACTTAGTTGAGTGATTGGTTAGGACCATTCTGTTACCCTATGAGCAGGGGCCTTCATGAGCGGGTGCTGGGGGCCCTTGTGCTCCGGAATCTGATTGCTCTGCCTGTTTGCAGGTATTGTGCTTGTTGCCATTAATCCTTATGAGCAGCTGCCAATCTATGGACAAGATGTCATCTATGCCTACAGCGGCCAAAACATGGGTGATATGGACCCCCACATCTTTGCTGTGGCAGAAGAAGCCTACAAGCAGATGGCCAGGTAAGAGCCACCTCAGCCCAGAAGTCTTCCTGGGTCGCTGGGGAGGTGGGGGCAGACTTTGCTGCTTTAGCTCAAGGCTGGGAAGGGTGGTTCCAGAGCTGAGGAAACATCTTCGAAACAAAACCAGCCCAGGTCCTGCTTCTTACCATGTCTCCTCATGTCTTCATTGTATTCTTGTGAGCCCGAACCTCGGCTTGGAGGGCGGTGGCTCCTGAGACTGATCTCATTGAGCAATGCAGTAAATGCCTGGCATTTCGTCTCTTTGATTTCCCTTTGGCCCTCTCTCCTCCGCTCCTGCTGTGATGAATCCCTGTTATAGCATCACCATTCCCTTGACAGATCTCACTGAGGCCTCTCTCAAAGGAACCAGGACTTTTGGCAAATTCTTGAGATGACAAGCATTTGGGGCTGAAATAGAAATTTCAGATTAATAGTCATGCATAGTGGTTTTGGGTTTTTCACCTGGAAGTGGAGTTCTGTTTAGCCATTTAAGTAGACCTCACTTTTGCTCTTTTTTCCCCCCTATCTTTGAAGGATAGGTGCAGGTTATTTCCTCAGAAGATGGGCTAGGTGGTTGTTGTTAGGGTTCTCTAGGGAAACAGAACCAATGTGAAGTGTGTGTGCATGGAGAGAGAGAGTGAGGATTTTTATGTCAAGGAATTGGCTCAAGGCTTGCAGGTTAGAGAAAAGAGTTGATGTTGCATTTTGAGACTGAAGGCAATCTACCGGCAGAGTTCTCTCTTTGGAAGAAGTGAAATTTTTTCTCATATGACCTTCAACTGATTGGATGAGGCTCGCCCACATTATGGAAGGAAATCTGCTTTACTCAAAGTCTACTGATTTAAATGTTAATCTCATCTAAAAATCCCTTCACAGCAGTATCTGGACTAATGTTTGACCAAATGCCTGGGTACCATGTCCTAGCCAAGTTGACACACAAAATTCACTACCACAGTGTTGGTCTTTGAACTCTTCAGGCATAATGTAGGGAAAGACAGTTTTATGGAAGGTTCAGTGGAAATGCATATTCCAGTTAACACTAAAATGCTGTATCCTTTCAGCCAAATCTTCCTTTCCACCTCTGGAGAATACCTGTGGAGCCAGCAGCATTCATAGGCAAGATCTTGGGAGGGAGCTGGGGGTTCGCTTAGGCTAATTTAGGGAGAGGAGTGACAGGAGAATCCCATTTAAGGTGGTCTGTTTATCCAGCGGGTTTTCAAGTATAATTTTCATCCTAATGAAAGTTCCCATGAGGGAAGATTGTTTCATAGGCTTTCTTACTGATTTGTAATGTTTTATTGCTGACTGTGAAGATTAGTGTATAAAAAGTTGGCTTTTAGTTATACAGTGACCATATTCAAAATAATCTGTGATTAGGGAACTAAACAATTTAATAAATACAATGATCTGTAACCATTTCATTTCTCCACAATGTGGTAAGAGACTGTGGAGCTAAAACAGTTGCAACTGTTGGCCCCTTGAATACCATGAGAAGCATATGAATGTGCTATCAGGGCTTGACTAGGAGCCACTTAGCTTGGTGTAACCTACTGATGCACGCCTCCTAACGGAAAGGTTGGTTCAAGGTCAGAGCCTGCAGAGAGAAGAACGAGTCTTAGTGTGTTGTAGCCCACAGCCCAGGCCGTGTTTTACTGTTGGAGGTCAAGTGTGTGGCACAGCGGAGGGAGACCCGGGGTCTGGACGGGCTTCTGTGCTTTGGGAGAATCACTTAAGCTGAGTCTCCATTTGCTTCTTGTGAAGACACCTATCTCCCCTCCTTTACGGGATGGTTTTTTATCTGAAACAGAAGGCGAGTGTGGCTTGGTTCTCATGACTTTCTACCATGCTAATGCTCTGGCAGCTCTCTGAGACTTGTCCTCTCATGGATGCTATCGATATTTGATTGCTTTCAACCCATCCTCATTTCTTAGCCAGTTGCACTTAGATGTATCAGAAGTTGCCTTTCTTCATCAAAGACCTCTTGAGATTCCCCTATAGCTTTGAGAATCTCTGTACCTCCAGCTTAATTCACATCATAGGTCCTCTCGACTAGATGGCCCCATTCTTCCCTTCCATGTGTGAAGCTGGGGCCATGGTTACTCTACACTTGGGCTACTTCACTTTTTTGGGTCCTTATTCACACCCATTAGAAGGAAGGGGGCGTTGGCATCCAGGGTGGTGGTGATCTGGTCTTGCTTAGGGCAATGCGTTGATGATTAAGGGGTTTGAACGTTAAAGTTGGAGCAGGATTTGCTCCTTATGGGTTTTCTTTAAGGTTTTAAAGTTTATACTCATTTTACCTGCTGGGTCCCAGGGTGTAGCCAAATAATTTTGCTGAAATTCTTGAGCAGTTTTTGCTCACGAATGTGCATTGGAAGTGTAAGGCCAGCACACGTGGCCACAGGAGAGAGCTATTTTTGAATGTTCTGTTGTCAGCAGCTCAGGGCTTCTGTTATTGATCTGAGAGATGCCTTTAGGAGAATCCTTGCTGTGCAAAGAAAGAGGAGACCAACACTCAGACGCAGGGAAAGTTCTTGCTGCATTTCCAGCATGGGCCTTCTCTGGCAATGTCGAATAGTAGGCCACATTCATTTAGCAGGACTTGCCGACTGTGTGTTGTGCCTTCCTGACTCATCAGTAGTTATTGAAATAATTATGTGATTTGAGTAGCCATAGCCCAGCACAGTGCACTTTGAATCTGAGCCTCTGGAACAGCTGGGTGAAATAAAGGGTGTGAGAAACAAAAGCTAATGATTTCCTGTCTCTGGAGGCTATAACTCAATTGGCCTTGGACTCAGCAATTCTTTCTCTTGATTCACTGGGGACTGGCTTTTCTTTCTCGATATGCTCACAGGGGACTCTCCATCTGAATGTGGGTGTGGGGGGGTGGGACTCTGGAGCTCAAGGGGATACAGGCCTTCCTCCCCATCCTGAGAGTTCACACAGGTCCCGCTGTGCTGGAGGCAAGGAAGAGGGCATGTCATAGGAGGATGTGCTCACTGTCCATATCCCTGTTGAACTCACCAAGTCTAGACAAGAAGAAAATGGTATCCATAGTGAAGAAGAAGGAAACATCAAATCCGTGAATCTGTCCTTTGCATAAGAACCTGTACATAGTTCCTTGTGAGACAGGAGGCTGACCTCCCCTGCTTGGCTCTGGACTCTGCTCCTCCCTCCCAGTCTGAGATCCGAAACGCTCTCTCCCTCATTTTTACCTGCCCTACCTCCAGCCTCAGCTCCTACATAAACTGCTATCAGTGAACCCTTGTGAAGCATCAGTCACCTGGTAGGCGCCTTACTGAATGAACACTGGGAAATGTAAGACCCTCCCACGTCTTAAGGAGCTCACAGTCTGGCTGGAGAGAGAAAACATGAGTAGACCCAGAAGCTGGACCTGCAGGGATTGTACATAGAAGCCAGGCCCCGGGTCATTTGAATTGAGTTTGGAGATGTGACTGTCACAGATGGTCCAAGAAAACTGTAGGCATTCAGCTGGACCTCGGCGAATTGGTTAGATGCATAGAGGGAGAAGAAGGCGTAGGTGGAATAGTGGTCATGACCCTAGCATCAGGATCAGAAGGCATGGCCAGACCGCTTTGTGTTCACTGGGATGTCTGTCATGGAAAAGAGAGAAAAACAAGTGTTGGCAAGGATGCAGACACATCAGAAAGCTCATACACTGGCCCGTGGAAGTGTAAAGTGGTGCAGCTGCTTTGTAAAGTAGCCTGGCAGTTCTTCAAAAGGTTAAACATATTTCCACCACACGACCCAGCAATTCCACGCTTAAATATGTACCCAAGAGAAATGAAAACATATTTTCGGGCAAAAACTTATTCACAGATATTCATAGCACCATTGTTCACAGTAACCAAAAGGTGAAAACAATCTAAATATCCAAGTATTGAATGCATAAACAACGAATGGTGTGCTCATGCAGTGGAATATTGCTTGGCTATAAAAAAAGAACACAGTGCTGATACGTGCTTCCCATGGACGGACCTTGGAAAGAAACACTGTGCTAAGTGAAAGAAACCAGACACAAAAGAACACTTACAGGTGTGGGCAAAAGTAGGGTACAGTTGTGAATACCCCAAAAGTAGGGTACAGTTGTGAGTACAGTTTATTCTTGGTATTATTTTTTTCATTATTGTAGTATTTGTACAGTTTACAACTGTAAGCCTACTTTTGTCCACCCCCTGTCTGGTAAGATTCCATGGATAGGAAATGTACAGAACAAGCAAATCTGCACAGACAGAAGGTGGACTAGTGGCTGCCTAGGCTGGAGGTTTGAGTGATCGTTTATGGACATGTTGTTTTTGGAGGGAAGGGGATGATGAAAGGGTTCTAAAACTGATTGGGCTGATGGCTGTGCAGCTCTGCAAATGTGCAAACACCCTTTGAATTGCATGCTTTAAAATGGGAGAAGTGTGTGTTCTGTGAATTAGAGCCCAAAGAAGCTATTGTGCCCAGAAGGGCATGGTCAGGGGACAGCACCCAGGGGAGCTTAACTCTGAGGGGAGGGGTCTGTCGGAGAGTCCTGGATGTGCAGTGAGAGACCCAGTGGCCAGACTGTGGAAGCCTGTGAAGGGTGGGGTGAACTTTGGGAGAAAAGTATGTCCTGTTAACAGGGTACAAAGATGGCCAACGAGTTCAGGAGACCCTGGGTTAGTCAGATGAAACATCTTCCTTCAGGCAGGGCCTCTCCAAGCAGGCGTGTGGACGTGCGGTCTGAGTCTCCAAGGAGCGGGTGCATTATGCCGGGTTTGCAGATCATATTTCTACACAAACTGTGTCCAGGGATCATCTCCAGGGGCGGATGTTCCCTGGGAAACGCTGGCCGGGAGGAATGGAAACATCAGTGGTTCTCAACCTTGGCTGCACATTAGCATCACCTGGGAATCTTTTTAAAATCCTGATTTCTGGGCCTCATCCTCCGGAAATTCTGTTTCTTTGTTACTAATGTTGTGGCCCCACCCCATAACAAAGAAACAGAATTTCCG